ATTATCGGCGTATAGATACTCAGTATTATTATACAGAGCGACATGTTTATTATCAGCATATAGATACTCAGTATTATTATACAGAGCAACATGTTTATTATCAGTGTATAGATACTCAGTATTATTATACAGAGCGACATGTTTATTATCAGCGTATAGATACTCAGTATTATTATACAAAGCGACATGTTTATTATCAGCGTATAGATACTCAGTATTATTACACAGAGCGACATGTTTATTATCAGCGAATAGATACTCAGTATTATTACACAGAGAGACATGTTTATTATCAGCGCATAGATACTCAGTATTATTATACAAAGCGACATGTTTATTATCAGCGTATAGATACTCAGTATCATTATACACCGACATGTTTATTATCAGCTTATAGATACTCAGTATCATTATACATAGCGACATGTTTATTATCAGTGTATAGATATTCGGTATCATTATACAGAGCGACATGTTTATTATCAGCGTATAGATACTCAGTATTATTATACATAGCGACATGTTTATTATCAGTGTATAGATACTCAGTATTATTATGCAGAGCGACATGTTTATTATCAGCGTATAGATACTCAGTATTATTATACATAGCGACATGTTTATTATCAGTGTATAGATACTCAGTATTATTATACAGAGCGACATGTTTATTATCAGCGTATAGATACTCAGTATTATTATACGGAGCGACATGTTTATTATCAGCGTATAGATACTCAGTATTTATTATACAGGCGACATGTTTATTATCAGTATAGATGTAATTATTATACAGGGCGACATGTTTATTATCGGTGTATACTCAGTATTGGCCGCACAGAGTGACATGTTTATTATCAGCGTATAGATACTCGGCATTATTATACAGAGCGACATGTTTATTATCAGTGTATAGATACTCAGTATTATTATACAGAGCGACATGTTTATTATCAGTGTATAGATACTCAGTATTATTATACAGACATGTTTATTATCAGTGTATAGATACTCAGTATTATTATACAGACATGTTTATTATCAGTGTATAGATACTCAGTATTATTATACAGAGTGACATGTTTATTATCAGTGTATAGATACTCGGTATCATTATACAGAGTGACATGTTTATAATCAGTGTATAGATACTCCGTATTATTATACAGAGTGACATTTATTTTATTTATTTATAAAATATTTTACTAGGAAAGATACATTGATATTTCTCTCGTTTTCAAGTATGTCCTGGGTCCACGAAAACATTGCATTAATACATTATGGTACAATAAGATACAAAAACAATATTAATACACAATATTTACAAAATTTAACCTAGAACAGGTAGGAAATATATAATCTGGGGGTACGCGTACCACGGGTTGGGAACCACTGCTTTAGAAGGATAGGAACTAGTCACAACCGTTATTATACAGACTAGTGACTACATTATTATGTAGATACTGTGGTGTATACCAGCAGTTCCCACTTGGGGAGCTTTGCACAATGCACAATTTGTCCCTACCCAGCTCCTGTAGGAAGTGTGCAAGGCATGCTGGGATGGATACACCCCCTAGATTTGCTCTCTTCCCAGTGTGTGTATGGAGTTCGGCCATGTTGGGTGTATGTTACAGCAGGAATGTGGATATCAACAAAGGGATCGAACGTAATATGTGACTTGTGATCAACAAATCC